ACAACCGGACCGGCAAGCCGGCGGCCGACGGCTGGGCGCCGAACTGGCCGGACGCGGACGACAACCTCAACGAGACGTGGCCCGGCGGCACGCTGCCCGCCAAGAAGGACAAACCCCCCCGCCCCGTCATGTACGCCAAGTCCCTCGTGCACACCATCGGGGGCATCGGGCGCAGCCGCCACAAGGACAAGAAGAAGGCGTCGGGCGGCGACGCGCTGCCCTCCGAGGAGCAGCAGTGGGCCTGGGCCGCGGCCGAGTCGCGCCGCCTCCACGCCGCCGCGCAGCAGCAGCGCCAGCGGGAGGACGACGACCTGCGCCTCGCGCTGCGCCTGTCGCGCGACCACCGCTGACGTCACCGCTGACGTCACCGCCACACCATCAAACTAATGTCGCGGCCCTACGCCCGGGCTTAACAAAATTGATTCATATTGTTTACCACTTATTTGTGTTATTTTATTCCTCGTGACATGTGCGGTCACCTGGGGCCTACAGTAGTTACATTACAAATGTAAATAACAATAGTGTCAGCAGCCGGGCCGGCGGCTCGCAGGCGGTCGGCTCGCGGTCGGTCGGCTGGCGGTCAGTCGGCTCGCGGACGGTCGGCTCGCGGTCAGTCGGCTCGCGGTCGGTCGGCTGGCGGTCAGTCGGCTCGCGGTCGGTCGGCTGGCGGTCAGTCGGCTCGCGGACGGTCGGCTCGCGGTCAGTCGGCTCGCGGTCAGTCGGCTCGCGGTCGGTCGGCTGGCGGTCAGTCGGCTCGCGGTCGGTCGGCTGGCGGTCAGTCGGCTCGCGGTCGGTCGGCTGGCGGTCAGTCGGCTTGCGGACGGTCGGCTCGCGGTCAGTCGGCTCGCGGGCACACGCTCAACGAGCGTCTTGTAAATAGTATTGCTTGTGTAGATCGGCGAGGTAATGATGAGGTCGCGCGGCTGCAGCGGCGCCCGCTGTCTGTATTATTATTTTAGTGTTTTATATAATATAATAGATTTTTATACAAGTAACTTACAAAGTGCATCACATTTCTAACATAGTTTACAATTATTACGTAACCTCATCATTATTTGGTTGAATCGGAAGAAATGTTATTTTTTTGCGATATTGATCTGTAGATATTGTATTGGAGTGATGTAGGCGAAATAAAAGAACTGTTCAAGTCGACAATTCGTGTAATACTGTCATATTGTGTGTGCAGTTACAAATATAAGGTTAGGCGAGATGGACACTACACATCCCCCTTTTTTTTTTTTAAAAATTACATTATTACATAATTCTTCTAATAAAAAAGGGGGGAGGTGTAGTGTGCAGCTCGCCTAACCTTATATTTGTAACTGCACACTACAATATGTATTTCAACAATTATGATGTCCCGCACTGTCCGTGACGTCACTCGTTACAATAAGCATTCGCTTTGTTATTAATTTGTATATAGCTGATCTAAACGAGCGCCCGTTCTGAGATACGCATTCAAGCCGTCGTACAGTGTGACGTCACAGTCCAGTAGAAGACTCCAAAGAAATAGCATCAAGCACCACCGAATATTCAACTAACGATCACGAATCATATTTCTTAGGTTTTAATTATTTAGGCGTTATCGACTAAACGACGCCCATCGCCCAGCGCGACCGCTTGTCAACGAATGTGGGCCGGGGGCACGGTCGCACCGCCCCGTGGCCGCGGGGGGGCGCCGCTAGCACCGCGGGGGGGCGCCGCTAGCACCGCGGGGGGGCGCCGCTAGCACCGCGGGGGGACGCCGCTAGCACCGCGGGGGGGCGCCGCTAGCACCGCGGGGGGGCGCCGCTAGCACCGCGGGGGGACGCCGCTAGCACCGCGGGGGGGCGCCGCTAGCACCGCGGGGGGGCGCCGCTAGCACCGCGGGGGGGCGCCGCTAGCACCGCGGGGGGGCGCCGCTAGCACCGCGGGGGGACGCCGCTAGCACCGCGGGGGGGCGCCGCTAGCACCGCGGGGGGGCGCCGCTAGCACCGCGGGGGGACGCCGCTAGCACCGCGGGGGGGCGCCGCTAGCACCGCCGTCGTGCTAGTCGCTCGTAGGTTAACCGACATGTAATCTGTATCATATGGTATATTATATTGAAATTGTTAACTCTTTCTTAGGAGCCGTTGTGTGTAGGGTCGGGGCGGTAGTGGTGCGATGTACCACGCAGCGTCACGCGCGCGCCCCGAGCCGACTCTGTTGTTGTTTCCAAATCGTAACTTTCTGTTCCGAAATAAAATGTAAGCTTTAACGTAGTTAACTACTGTACTGGATCATTTCAATAGATGAGGTGTATTATATGTATAAGTAGATAATATTGACTTTATAACCCGCTCGGAGTCGGAGAGCGCACAGTAGCGTAGCACTCTGCTGGCCTTGTCCACGAGTGCTTGTGTTGTGAACCGGCACGGACTCTGAGATCGCGCACTGATGTTCCCCGCAGCGATCCGCAAATATGATTGTTTAAGTTAATTTTTGATGGCTGTGTTTTGTTTGCGACGACTCGGTGTGTCGTCCGGTCCGCGTCGCGGCCGGACCTCCAACGGAACACGCATTTGGAAAATGATAACGTTCAATGCGAGAGTAAAGAAGGTCGACTTTATTACAATGAAGGAATGGACGTTGCGTTCAATCATAATGACTCATTGAATCATTGAGTCATTGTATGCCTCGAGATCTGCATTTTATAGGCTGAGCTCCGACGGCCGAGTAGATGTCACATTCCGTTATTAAGTAGATAGCTCTTACCGCATTCCGTCATACTATTTGTTATTTTCGATGAAGATTGATTGGGCAGCAACGGACTGCGCGGTCCAAATTACTTCATTTTGATAAGGTCGATGGGTTGGAGCACACGTCATTACCCCTGTTGTATCTACTGTAATTATAACTATGATATTAAATTATTATGAACATCCTCGAATAAAAAGGGATTGTTAAAAATGTGTATTTTATTTTGAATTTAACGACAACCGTGCGCCCTCCTCACGTCGCTGGGGTGGGGCCCGTCGCCCCGCCCGGCGCTGCAGGGAAGCAGTAGTGGGTTCCGGATGGGCGGGACAGCATTTTGTTATTGCTATTGTAATCAGAGGAGCATTCGGTTCATCTGATTCTAAGTAGTCACCATCGCCAATGCACATCACTAATGTCAAGCGCGCAGTCAGGCCGCTGTCTACTGCTGAGGACTCGCCCCACACCTCGTTTGTAGAGGGATACCTCATAGCACTCGGGGATTATCGTGGAGGGGCGAGTATTGTACGGTACTCGTATGTGTAATCTTTAGGCAAAACCGCAATATTACACGACTAACCTGCCGAGTTACCAAGGTCAGACTAATCTGACCAGATATAGCTAAGCTTGTTCATTTTATGTCGAGTCTGTTCTATCCTACCTGTCATTTGGCAAACAAACATTACAACATAAAGAGAGCTCCCGGTACCCAAATGCAAAACAAAATATGCCGACGCATTCAAACGCTAAGGCCACACATTGGTCTCTACCACGGAATAGATAAATAAGGTTGGAAAGGCCTTTGCTCTAATTTTGTATTAGAACCAGTGTCGCCGCTTCATCCCCACTATTTTAATTTCTACACATACACACACTGTGATTACAAGTATTTCGCACACAACAAAAACACCCACACATAAATCTCAGGACAGATATTCGTTCGCAAACTAGCACAAAACACCCGTANAAGGTTGGAAAGGCCTTTGCTCTAATTTTGTATTAGAACCAGTGTCGCCGCTTCATCCCCACTATTTTAATTTCTACACATACACACACTGTGATTACAAGTATTTCGCACACAACAAAAACACCCACACATAAATCTCAGGACAGATATTCGTTCGCAAACTAGCACAAAACACCCGTAGGCATACACACTCACACACGCAAAAAGGAAATAAAAATGTTCATACACGCTAGTGCTTGATAAAACCGATATTCTTTATCGATAAATTATTTGATGAATGAATGGGGAAAAATGAAACATGAAATAAATATTGAAAAAAAAAACTATTTTACTTTTATTAATTACAAATAATCACTGTCCTTGGAATAAAACGTATTTGTTAAGCAGTTGGCGTTTGCTATTAATTGCGAATGAATTTTTCAAAACAAAGTGTAGCCTGATTTTTTAATGTTAAAATCATTTTCAGTAAAATGTTTAGAGCAAATAGTACTCGTCTTTGTCTCCAGTTTTCTCTACCTGTTACGTCAATCCATTGTTCACTGGCGTTAGGTTCTTTAGGAAACCTAAAATTTATAGTTTATTGCATAAGTTAAATAGCATTTTACTTAGATTTTAATACGTCTTAGACAATATAGTAAATACCCGTAAATGAGAGGTCTACATGTCCCTTTATATTAGACCTTTACATTAATTCAATGATAATAATTCAATAAAAATAATACATATTTATTTTACTCAAAATACGTCTCACTAAGAATATACTAGGTATCATTAATTAAATATAAAATAATACAAAAATTATCCATGTCAAATGTAAATATAGTCGAGAATTCTGTCGATGATTTTATTTCACCACGGTCACCTCACTATCGACAAACTAGCGCCGTGCACCACGGCCAATCAGGGCAAAGGCTGAAATTTCAAATATTGAAGTGTAGAGAACGCAATGCATGTAGTACATTGGAAGCGGACTTGGTCACTGCGTTCATTGGGCGAGTACACATCGCGCAATGTATGCTATTTATAACTTGTTGCAATAATATTGTTAATGTTTGGAATTTCATAATGCTCAGTATATTTTTATGTTTCAGACAAATAATATTGTAATTAAATGGTAATTTCGACTTACGGATCGAAAGATATACCTCCTCGCTCTATACTTGAGGTCTGACTTTTTGTTTTACAAGTTATAATTGCACAACACGGCATTATAAAGCGGAGATCTGTTCGCCCAAGTAGTCCGAAGCGCATTAAACGCGGTGAATGAAGGAATCGGTCGAGTTATGATTGTAAAATCATAACTGTGGCACGCTTGCCCCGCCTACATTACCATTCCAACCTTATTTATCTATTCCGTGGTCTCTACATTCGGAGATAATTCGTATACGCTTTCCTTGTCCCCTAATGTTATAATTACAACCGCAACATAAATTCGTTACAAATAACGCCGTCTAACGGAGGGCATACGAACGACACACAACGCGCTACGAACATTCTGGAATGTGCGATCTGGTGTGCTGATCCATACCGCTTGTGCATGGTGACTGTCGGAGCACCTTGCGGATCCACTATTTAGTGACGTTGGATGCTGCTACTAACTACATACTAACGCTGGTAGCAACCAAAGCGCAGTGCAATGTATTTGTCGAACTCGCCCTAAAGTTTGACGTGACACTCAGCTCGCTCAGTGTGCTTAGTGCCAGTTTTTTAACGCTCTCGATAGCATCGCAGTCCGCAACCGCCGACGCGCCGTCCCATCCTCCTGGTTCCAGCGCGCTAGAGTGACGGTAGCGTGCGGCGCAGCCTCAACCCCCTTAGGTCGCCCCGTGACCATCACCGGAAGGAGACTGCCTCCTCATAGGGGAAGTGGCTGAAGGCCTAGTACAACCAGCCACTTCACGGGCTTGCGAACAGCAAGCATGGTATCTACGCAACCCACCACTGCTACGGAAGACAAGGACTTAATGTCGATGAAATGCAGAGACAACACTTTTGTACTGCTTCTTTGCATTAAGTTAGTGAACGAGGGCACGGCCCGCCGGCTGTTGAGTAGTTATACCGTCGGCTACCCGGAGCCTAGAGCCACAAGACCGAACGACCAAATTAATGTGTAAAAGCCGTCCCGCCGTTGACACCGGCGGCGCGGCGCGCATGCATTGTTTTATTGCTTAGATGGGTGGACGAGCTCACGGCTCACTTGATGTTATAAAAAGTTACCGGAGCCCATAGACACCTACAAGTTAAATGCTGCCACGTACCTTGAGATACACCTAAGTTCTAAGGTCTCCGTTTTCACAATACAACGGCTGCCTCACCCTTCAAACGTATTACTGTCTCACGACAAAAAAAGGCAGGGTGATGGTACCTACCCGTCCAGACTCACAATATAATTTTGTGGGCCTGATTTTTACAAGTATTACACGATGTTATTCCTTCACCGTGGAAACAGAATCGTGAAAATCATTCATTCTTATGTAAGTATTTCATTATTAAAATTGGCACTTGCCTGCGGGATTCGAACAGCCTTATATCGCTAGATGAACCATCCCACCGTCAATAATTACAAAATATATAGGTACTTGTTATGAATTTGATTCTGGAAATATAACTTAGGCGCTGTATGACAGTAACTGAGAACTTGTTCTGATAAAACAATGTTTATTTTTATATTTACGTAGTTAGGCCTTTATAAATATTTACTATTGTCGGTAGGTATGCTATGTTTTCTGGATCTACATATTTATATATTGGGTCTTTACCTACAAAATTGCCTTATAGTATAGTACAGAAAGTAAGTATTTTTTTTATAAAGGTTATTTCTCAATACCTTTGATAAAGAAGTCAGGTGTATGGGAGTAAACAAATTCTTCGAAGGTATTTTGACGGACTCGGGTATTGAATTGATTCTCTGCCAAGAAGTTGTTTAAAAATTGGAAAAAGTTTTTGAAGTTATACTTCTTTAGGCGCGTTATGAAAAATTGATGAGAGTGAAATTTTACGATGCGCGCGCACCGTGACACAAAATTAACAGAATGAAGTTGCCCACTAAATCGCTCATTACAATACGACCGACGTAACTTGGCGAGTCTGAATATAGCCGCAGGTGAACTTTCCGAACTGTACTGAGAATTACCGAATTTATACGATGTCAAGAAAAGGGATGTCCAATGTGCGTGTTTGAGGATGTTGTTTAATCGTTTTTTTTTCAAATTGATTAAAATTTAAATAACAAAAAAAAAAAAAATTAATTAAAATAAAGTATAACTTACTACGCGCGTACATAAGTACACGCAGCCTTTTTTTTTAGGATTGTAGCATTACTGTCGGCCCGGANATTTATACGATGTCAAGAAAAGGGATGTCCAATGTGCGTGTTTGAGGATGTTGTTTAATCGTTTTTTTTTCAAATTGATTAAAATTTAAATAACAAAAAAAAAAAAAATTAATTAAAATAAAGTATAACTTACTACGCGCGTACATAAGTACACGCAGCCTTTTTTTTTAGGATTGTAGCATTACTGTCGGCCCGGACGCCTGACCAGTTTTACCAGGACAGGTGGGCGAGCAAAGGCTCAGCCAGGAAGGGTGGGATTTGCTAACAGCTGCCCGAGCACCTCCGAAGGAGACCTAAAAACTCAAGAGCAGCTGCTTCGCGAATGAATCTACTACCGGATCGTAATCGCGACCCACTGAAAAGATCCGGCGAGAAACTCAGCGAGCTGATGCATGGGTTAAGTTGCACGTCGAACTCTTTGTCGAGTTCGACGAGTACGGTTACCGGGTTCCCTAAGCTTGCTCCTAGTGTTAGAGTTAAAGGCGTCTAATGCAAGGGTTACTGGATCTGATGGATTCGTCTAGGGCATCGATAGTGACTGGCTCCTGCGTGATCACAATTCGGGGAGTAGTCAGCGGCGGCAACGAGAAGGCGATTATAGCCTTATCGAAGTAGCGTTCAGACGCTGACTCCATATAGCTCGATGGATGGATCCGAGACCCAGGTCGTCGTGTAGGTCAACGTTCCTGACGAATCACGGAGCTCCGACGGCTAACCTGCAAAAGCGGGACTTAAAGGATTGGAGGGTGTCTATGTGTGTGCGGGCCGCGTGAGCGAACACCACACTCGCGTAAGTCATAACCGGCCTTTTGCAAGTTTTGTAAAGTATCACCTTGTTCCGAAGGGACATTTTACTCTGTTTGCAGATCATGGGATGGAGTCTACCAAGAATAAACGTGGCACGGTCGCGGACTGATTTTATATGCGGGCGGAATGTCATGGACGCATCCAGGGTAACTCCCAGGTACTTGATCTTTCTGGCCCAGGGTATGTGTTGGCTAAAGAGGGTAAGGGGGGTGTGAGATTCCTTCTCCTAATCCGGAAGGAAATCCGTGTGGAGTTTCCCCTTTGAAATAGCACAGCAGTACTTTTCGCTGAGTAATGTCTATGCGCCATTTTCGAAACCACTGTCCTAGGGCTACGGCTGCGATCTGAAGTTTCCTCGCGATTAGGGACTTGTTTTTACTTGAATAGTAAACAGTCGTGTCGTCGGTTGGAAAAAGTACAAGTGTGTCGTGTAGCCTTCATTTTTTGGTTCAAGATTACTCACCGACGAGTTGCATGAGAGTTGGGGATGTGAATCTGAATACAATAAAGGACAACACATTGTGGTCCACTCCACAGCTATTTATTTATTCTTAATATTTCGCACAAGTTCTTCAGCTGATTGTCGCTTTAAAGAAATTCTTCGATATTTTGTCATTAAGAAAGTGAAGACTTCATAGTCCACTTGCACCTCACCACTTGGTAAAGCGTGGTCTTTACCACTTTAATCCAGGGACAATGCTCCTTCATCCTTCATTAAGAAGTGCCGTCGGCTGTATGGCATAACGAGCTGTCGCAGCTTAATCCTGCGCCGGGCTGGCTTGGTCTATGGTGTAAAGTTATTTCATATGTTAAATAATTAATTAAGATATTGGCCGTCCGAGATGGCGTTCATGTGAAAAGGAAGCATCGTCTTGTGAACCCCGCTTTTACTTATTATAATGATTTTGATGCGTTTTAAAAATGAGCAACACCGTCCTCGGCCTTACACAAAGGTAATCTATGTAGTGAAATTACATAGGAGTGAAATCCATACATCATTTTAGAGTTTTAACCAAGATGTCACACATGTCAGTAATTTTAATTTTGTTTGCTCGTAACAGTCGTTGCAAGTTCTAGCGAGTAGGAACAGTACGGTGGATGCCGCTGAACTTCAAACCCTGGCAGTTGTAGTAGAGAGCCCGCCTGTTGTATAAGTAGTGTGAACGCGAGCGTTGTCGTATAGGAACAGCGGGCTGCGTGACTAACGAGGGCTGGCCGGAGATTCGCGATCTTCTCCATAATTGTTCCCGGTTGCTGACAGTACTTACATATCCGCAGTAATGCTGGTGTCACTTGGTAAAAGGCTGTGATGAATGATACAAGCACTAGACCACCAAACAGTGTATGCATGGGTTATGTTTTCGTTTGGGGCATTACCTAGGTGCTGAACCAGAGTTTAAACCAACATAATGACCGTTTACGACTACCAACCGAGTGACAATGCGGTTCAAAATCCCTTTCTTTCTGAGTTTGTTAAGTATTACGAGGCATGCGCATACCTTGACGCGTTCGTTGCGATCGTTCAGTTCGTTCGGCACCCTCTTGTCAAGGTTTCTTACCTTGCTAGTTTGACGCAAAATATTGTTTTAATGCTAAACTTGAAAGCTGCTGTTAACTCAGCGGTAGATTAAGTATCCTCAGGCTCTACTATTGCTTTTAGTTCATTGTTGTTCAAAGCAATAACGAGTGGTGCGTTCGTTTGTAATGACGACAGAAATTAAGCATTAGTTCTGCACGCCGCTAATGTCATGCAGGTATGTATTCAGAGGTCAGATGTTGTCTTGTTTGTAGAGAGGGGGGCGGGACGCGTGCGAGGAGTGCGCGGGGGGTGCGGGCCGAAGAGGGCGCGGGTGAGTGCGGAGCTCGGCGCCTCCACGCACACATACAGTGCGCACCCGCACACGTACGACATCACCGCCGTGGCACACAGCACCGTCACCTGCAACACGCGCCGGCTGTTGTCTCTTGGACCTCAGGTCGCGGTATGCGAACTGCGGAACGAAGATGTCCAACGCAGTCGTCGAAGGTAATATGTAATAGTTACGACGTAGTAGTCGGAGATGTGCAGCGGCGTGGTCTGCGAGCCGACGAGCCCGCGCTGGAACAGCGTGTGCAGCAGGAACGCGCTGAACGACACCCGGCCGCTCCAGCCCCAGCCGCGCCACTCTACCACCGCGCGGTAGCTGTCTGCAAACATCATAATCATATATACTATGCTAAACGAATACTACTATCATTGTACATAAGCAATTGAATCAGTTACTAACTTTCCAGCTTCAAAACGCAAGACAAGATCAGAGCGACGACGAGCAGCTGGAAAATAGGTTTGTAGAGTGCAGCGTACATCACTCTGAGCGCTGTCGGGGGCTCCACGCCGTCCCTGTAGAATATACCTCCCGACAGGATCACCGCCACGCCCAGCGGGAGCAGCAGCCACACCAGCCAGCGGTGCTTCTGCGCAGAGACCGCGCCGGGGTCAGACATACGGAGATACGCTTACTCAAGGTGTCTCATGGTGTGCGCGCGTGCGCTAATTGCCACCTTGTATCCAGTGAAACGTTGAGGCTGAGTCTGGGCGCGGTAGGCCAAGAAGCCGCCCGCCAGCCCCAGCGTGTACGTGGAGAGGTTGGTGTGACCGCGGATGTACAGCAGCCGGAACGTGTCCTCGCGCTCGTAGAGGTTCCTGTATGTCCTGCAATACAAGTTCACACATCTAGTTAGCAACCGCCTCGTGTGCCGTGTGGGATCAGACCTACGTGTACCAGTACAACGTACTCGGGAGACTGCAGGACGACGGCGTCCAGGTGTTGCAAGTACGTGTGCAGCGCCGGAGTCAGCAGCGAGAGGAGGAGCAGCACCGCGAGGCACACCGCGCGGACACGCGGCCGGCGCGCACCCACGCACACCGCCACGCCCACACAGAACAGCTGCGTGTCCGCCGCCAGGTACCTGCACACTCACATCTTTACTTCCAAATTTCATTGACTCGTGTAGCTGTGTGTAGTTAATAATATTATATTATTAAATTAGTACTAGCTGACCCGGCAAACGTTGTGTTGCCTTAAATAAGATTTCTAGGGAAATTCTAGTGTAGGAAAAAAACCTAATTCAACTACAATACCTCATTATATATGTCGGTACTTGAACCATTGTACCATGGTTCACTTGCGGACTAAACAATAATAATAATAAAAATAATGGTTGGTTCGAAGTAGGTATCAGTGGAATGGAATATTTGAAATGTATTCCACTGATAACTACTTTTAATAAATGTATATTTTTTATTTGATTGGCTTTGTTAATTTTAAGTATGTTTCAATGATACTATGTACACATATGGACTTATTGTTGTCTGAAATAAAATAAATCATTCATTCATCATTCATTATAACCAAAAAAAAATTATCCAAAAAATAAAAATAAAAAAGAAATGTTTGGGGTGGACAACCCTTATCACTTACGGGGTATGAAAAATAGATAGTAGCCGATTCTCAGACCTACTGAACATACTATTGATACACAAATAAAACCAAAAAAAACATGGCTGGCAAGCTACGATTGATACACAAACAAATAAATTTTTTTGGAAACATAATGTGTTTCTTTAATTGGCTCATGTTTGTGAAAACATCCTCTGTACCCTGTGTCTAGTTAAATGCTGTTGAAACATTGTTGATTAAATAAATAAATAAATAAAACAAAAAAAAACATGACTAAAAAATGTATAGTGAGTAAGCCAGGAGACCGGCTTCGTCCTCATCCCTACTACGTGATGTTTGCTGGATGAGTGGTGACACCTGGCGGGGATAACTGATCGATTGATAGTTGATCAGTAGTCGACCGGCGAGGGCGGGAGATGAAATTGAATTTAAAAAAAAAACATAATTAAAGGAACTTTGTAATTATAAACTCTGAATAAGAATGTATCGTACTACAATAATTATAATATTTGATTGCCATCTTGCAAACTTATTGAGGATCTGTGCTAGAATAAAAAAAAATAAAAATCGGGATGGAAAAATAGGGGTTGATCGTATAAGAGTGAAAATTGAGAGTAATATGATTTTTTTTATTTTAGGTATAGACAAAAAAAAAAAACATAACAAAATAAAAATAAAAATGAAAATCTTGCCAAAAAAATTAAAGTTTAACAAATAAAAAAAATGTGATAGCTTCCGGGAAATAGTTGATACGGAGCTAAGCCTAAAAATAGCACTTAAAACAGAAGAGGATATCGAAGAAGCCACAAAGCATTTCACCACAACAGTTCAAGCTGCCTGCTGGAAAACCTCTCCGGAGCACTTGAATCCCAGGCCACGGCAAAATAAGATATCGTTTGAAATAAAAGAACTATTTCTGAACAAAAGAAAACTGCGAAGAGTATGGCACACTAGCAGACTCTCAGTAGATAAAAGAGCTCTTAGATAAGCAGTCAAGGATCTTAAACTTGCCATAAAAAATGCAAGGGACAAAACTATGGAATTGTTATCAAGATTCCTTAACTGCAACAAGTGCTACTAACTACTCTCTATGGCGGGCTTGTAGGAACTATAATAGGCCTATAGATCCCAAACCGCCGTTACGGTTGCAGAATAACACTTGGGCAAGGACAAGACAAGAAAAAGCTGACGCCTTTGCTGTTCACTTAGCAAAAATATTCACGCCTAATGATGCTGACCCAAACACTGATGATTCCTTCATAGATTCGGTCCTAAGTCAAGACTTCCAGCTCGATTTGCCGATTAGGCCTACAACTCCGAAAGAGTTCGTGGCGAAAATCTCAAAATTGGAGGACAAAAAGGCCCCCGGGTTTGATTTAATAGACCAAAAAGTCTTGAAGGAACTTCCCAAAAAAGCCATAGTTTTTCTAACTCATACTAAGAACTGGACAATTTCCATCGCTGTGGAGAGTTTCACAAGTAATTATGATACCTAAAGTAGGGAAGCCAGTGAACGAACTTAGCTCATACAGGCCGATTAGACTACTAACAGTAACGTCAAAACTTTTTGAGTCAGTCCTGCTGCACAGATTATTGGAGGAGATTCATCAAAGAGCCATAATCCCGGACCACCAGTTTGGCTTTCGCCAGCAGCATGGCACTGTGGAACAAGTCCATAGAATCTGCTCTGTAATAAGGAAGGCACTAGAGAGAAAGGAGTACTGCTCCTCTGCCTTCCTAGACGTGCAGCAAGCGTTTGATAGAGTATGGCATAAAGGTCTCTTGTATAAAGTAAAAACTCTTCTACTCTGTACATTCTTCCCCATAGTAAAATCTTATCTAACAGAAAGAATATTTCAAATAAGAGAAGAAGAGTGTACATCGCCATTTCACTCAATCAAAGCTGGTGTACCGCAGGGGTCTGTCCCGGGTCCAGTCTTGTATACCATTTACACATGTGATTTACCACAAAGCGAACATGTTACATTAGCAACATTCGCAGACGATACCGCTGTACTGGCATGTAGCAATAGCCCAAACGAAGCTTCAGACTTCCTACAGACTGGATTGCAAGAAATTGAAACCTGGCTTTCAAAGTGGAGAATAAAAACTAGTGTGACAAAATCCGTTCATGTAACCTTCACTCTCCGTAGAGGAGACTGTCCGCCAGTAACTCTGTGCAATCAACAACTCCCGCAAGAACACTGCGTAAAATACTTGGGAATACACCTTGATAGGAGACTCGTATGGAAACAACACATACAGAAGAAGAGAGAAGAAATCAACCTGAAATACAGAGGACTCTACTGGCTGCTCAGTGTCAGTAGATAATAAGCTACTCATCTACGAAATGCTCTTGAAACCAATTTGGACATACGGGATTCAACTATGGGGTCCGGCGTGTGACTCTAACATAAGTATCATACAGAGGGTTCAAAATTACATCTTGAAACAAATATCGAACTGTCCGTGGTTTATAAAAACATCGGAGATTCATGAACACCTCAAAATCAGGACTGTTAAACAGGAAATCAAGACCTGGAGTATGAAATACAGAAAAAGGCTAGAAATGCATCCTAATAAGCTTACCACGCAACCACACCGGACCTAATAAATAGGCTTAAAAGGCGATAAATCCTAAGTCTTGATAGACTCGGTTGACAGAGTGGAGCAGTCTCGATGGAGATTTTGCTCTGACCGTCTAACAGCTCTCAACACATCTGCTCATAGTCTAGCTGACTGATTGCAAGATAAAGAAAAAAAAAAGGTTACCAAGTCTGCGGTGCACAGAATGCGTCTTCGTAGATGTAGTTGTTGATGTAAAGTAGATGCGCCCACCAGTAGCGACGGCAGGCGGCCGCCTCGCTGCCGACCACGAGCCCCCACAGCGGACCGGCGCCCGCGTGCCGGCCCAGCGTGGAGATCGTCGCCAGCACCAGGCCGTACGTTGGAGTCAGTCTGTAATCATCGACAGGGCGCAGTCGAGAAGGTCGTGGGAGGTACTCAGTATTGTCGCGTCGACAGGCGGGGCTGACGCAGTGTACGTGATCACCGCACACGTGCCTCATTGTCTGGCGGAATGTACACAGGGAGCTGCAGATGTACATCACGCCGACATTCCATACATACAGACTAATGTCAGGTGTTTTACAAGCAAAAAAAAAATTGTTTCAAGAAATCGATGTTTGTCATAAAATTGTCTACAGCGGACCGTGGTCTGGCGACGTCACTAGTCGAATGTATAAATTGAGATCTAACACCGTGACACATGAATATACTAAATGGTGCACATAATTATGGTCGCAACCGCAGTGTGCTGGTTTGTCAAAGAAAGCGTCCCCCTGTTTGCCGAGATTCCGCAGTCGTCTCACACTTTGAAGTCGTTGTGGCCTAAAGGATAAGACGTTCGGTGCATACGTGCTTAGCGATGCACCGGTGTTCGAATTGCAGGCGGGTACCAATTTTGCTAATGAAATACGTACTTAACAATTGTTCACGATTGACTTCCACGGTGAAGGAATAACATCGTGTAATAAAAATCAAATCCGCAAAATTATAATTTGCGTAATTACTGGTGGTAGGACCTCTTGTGAGTCCGCACGGGTAGGTACCACCACCCTACCTATTTCTGCCGTGAAGCAGTAATGCGTTTCGGCTTGAAGGGTGGGGCAGCCGTTGTAACTATACTGAGACCTTAGAACTCATATCTTAAGGTGGGTGGCGCGTTTACGTTGTAGATGTCTATGAGCTCCAGTAGCCCCTTAACACCAGGTAGGCTGTGAGCTCGTCCACCCATCTAAGCAAAAAAAAATGTTAGGTAATTCTCTAAAACAAATCTAATTTTTATTATAGCATTTTCCAAGTTACTAATATCCTAGAAATGAAATAGGTACATATTTGTATATTTATAATTCGAGATCTTAGCGCTGGATCCTTTTATTTTTAATCATTATGTTTAAATCAATTATTATCAATGAACCTGAGCCATCTGAGTAGTATAGCCTTAGGCAGGTGGGTCCAGGTGAGGTCGTGGGTCTCCGCGTAGATCTGGAAGTTGTACGCGAGGAGGAAGCTGGACATCACGAAGAAGGTGTGCGTCACCAGGGTGCCGTTGAACAATATTTGTTTGAGGGGATCGTCGTAAGCCTGAAATGTTTATACCAGATATGGTTTGTAAAGGATTCAATCATTTACATAACGCACTGTGGCTGTAAATATACCTTCTCTATGTAGAGCGGATTGTCCACGTACGAGTAAGCCATGATCAGCACCGTGTGGGAGAACAACACGCACAGCATCGTCAGCGTCCTGCAACACGAGCCGATCAACACTCAATCTCCTCTTCAACGCGTGGCCACCCGATACTGAGTGTAGGTCTCTTCGGTCTCTTGCCTTTCGCATCCAGTCTCTACCAACCGCTTTGACCAGATCATCGGCCCACCTCGTTGGCTGTCTGCCCATTTCACAGCGCCAACTAGGAGGTCTCCACTCCAGTACTTCTCCAACACTGAATACTGGACATTAATTACAGAGACCGCGGCGGGTCTGGCCCCTACCTGATTCCGTGGAATGCTTTCAGCCTGTCGAGTCGTGGGTCCCGCAGCGCGTGGCTCGGCGACACCAGCCGCTTCCAATTACGTTGCACTGAGAACGACAACAGATACGGGTTCCCTGTCAAGTTAATTTGATCTTCATCATTATCGTTGTCCGTGCTCTAAGGTTTCATTATTTGTCTACTAAGTACGTACCCTTGCCATTCTTACATATGATAAGATCATAGCAGCTCCCCACAGCGTTCAACAGCATCACAAGTAAATAAAGAACAGCAACCACGTGGTCGCTCGCGTCGAACGGGCTGCTCTCTCCCTCTCGGACACAGTAGTGTAGCTTAGCGAGCTTAACTTGGAGCCCGTACGCCTTCGAGACAGTTTGGTTGAGACACTGTGTGAGGGCTCGTTCTATTCCTAGTGCAGTGCGGTTGACGTGTGCACACGAGGTGCTGAGACAGACTCCGCGGTGGATCTGGGTGTGGTTGAAGTGCTTCACGCGGTGCGCAGAGTAGCCCTGAAATACCAATCGTAAAGTTTGAATGGTCATTAACGAGAACGCTCGGAGGTCGGAGGCTGACCGGACCGGACCGGACAGGCCTCTGTCGAGTGAACCAATCCGAGCGTAGTGCGCGTCTCCTTCGGTTCCCAGCTGAGCAATTAGTCGAGCTGATGAGCATTACAGGAGTATCACAGGGTGTGATTATTAGAACTTATCAGAGTTCCGTTCCAACTGTCAAGAACCACCATTTTTAAAATAGCTGAATGGCTGTGAGAAGTTTACCGTTTTCACAAAGTTCTTTCGATTCAGACACATCATCAACTATTAGAAGACAAGAGTTACAAACGGAGTGCAGACCTCGAATCTGCAATACCGTAGATAATTGAACCCGTTCTCTGGGTCCGTATGGTCACCCAACTAGTGACTCGTCTACTCGGCACCAGCCGCGTCAACAGCATTGCTCCTGCGCGTTTGTGTGCATCAAAAAATTACAGAACTATTACAGATATTTTTTTATAGCTTAGGATAATAAATGAGCTGGTTTTAAGTATGTACTGAAGCTCAGAGCGTTACGTTACGTCACATCGTTAATGTTTATTTTTATTTTTTATTGCTTGGATGAGTGGACGAGCTCACAGCCCACCTGGTGTTAAGTGGTTACTGGAGCCCATCTACAACGTAAATGCGCCACCCACCTTGAGATATAAGTTCTAAGGTCTTAGTATAGTTACAACGGCTGCCCCACCCTTTAAACAGAAACGCATTACTGCTTGACGGCAGAAATAGGCGGGGTACCACCAGTAATTACACAAATTATAATTTTGCGGGTTTTATTTTTATTACACTATGTTACTCCTACACCGTGGAAGTGAATCGTAAACATTCGTTAAGTACGTATTTCATCAGAACAATTGGTACCCGCCTGCGGGATTCGCAAATCGTTTCATTGCTCGATACGAATGCATGTTGTCTCCGTGAGACATCCTGTCTCAAAGAGATCATCATGAGTTCCAATAATAAATTGGCACATATAACGACTGTCCTAGCTTCAAGCCAGAACTAATGGCTGCTTCGTGCTTTACAAAATTGGTATAATATTTCTGAAAGTGAAACCGTATGTGCGACGTAACGTTAATTAACAACTTCGGTACCGCCGGCACTGGCACTTGGGACGCACGAGCTTCCGGTGACCCACTCTTACTAGTACTAGTATCTCACCTGGATTAGGTCCATGAGGCTGGAATCAGTCCCGGGGAGCAGGTCCGCATCGAGGAGGCAGTACGGACCGCCCTGCTGCAGACATGGCTCGTATTCGTCTAGCGCGTACAGCGCCGGCATCCTGCGATATTCACTCTCTGGAATATCGAAAGCATTACGTGTCATACAGGACTCCAGTATCCTCATGGTGTTGTCTTGTTGGCGTCACGGGCACACGGCGCACGCGTCGCCTGGCACTCTGTGCCTCTAGGTCGCAACGTGACTCTGTTTTTATGATTGAGGCATTACTGGTGGTCTAGGGGCCTTTCCAATTTCACAAGGACAAGTGGGCGAGCAAGGGCTCAGCCAGGAGGAGTGGGATTTGTTAACAGCTACCCGAGCGTCTTCAAAGGAAAGTACTCAGGAGTACTAAGGAGAGGACTGTGAGGAGAGTACAAACTCAAGAGTAGCTGCTTCGCGAATGAATGTACTACCGGATCGGAACCGCGACCCGCTGAGAAGATTCAGCGAGAAACTTAGCGGGCTGATGTTTAGGTTAGGTTGCACGTCGAACTCTTTATAGTACAGTAACCGCAGTCTCTAAGCCAGCCGTCACGTGCGGACGTGCTCATCGACCACTCGATCGCCCGGCCTTTGTTCGCCCGGCCTTTGTTCGCCCGGCTTTTGTTAGCCCGGCCATTGTTCGCGCGGCCTGTGTTCGTGGTACATCTGCCGGCCAAGTGTTTTACCTGGAAGTGTTTATTTGTTTTGTTTCTTTTTGTTATTTCTGTTTTGTGGTGTTTTTTCTTTATCCTGTAGTAATCACGCCGCATCGCCACCTGTGTTCAATAGAACCGCTCAGGTCCGAGAAGTTGGGGCCTCGCCTGGGCACTCAGTGATCATGGACGCTATATTCGCGGAAGTCCTCCGACTTCGCCACCCACACCTCGCCTCAGAGTTTCTGGCCTTCAAGGCCAATCACACTGCGAGCCCTCTCGAGGACTCCACCGTGCTCGCTGCTCCTGCGTCGCCTGTACCTGCGTGCAAAGCTTCTGCATCGAGCACCGCAGCCTCCGTCGTGCCTGCCGCTCCTGTGTCGCCTATACTGGCGAGTAAAGCTGCTGCGTCGTCCGCCGTGGCCACCGTTTCAGCTGAGCGATCATCCGCGGCCTCCGTCGCGCCCTCTAAACACCTACACTTGCTCGTAGGTCGTCTGCGCCCGCCTCCTCGTGCTTCGACTCTAACTCGGACATGGAGGTCGACCTCGCCCCCGCCTTATCGACGGATGGATTCACCCTGGTACAAAAGGGTAAGAAGCGTGCCGCGGAGTCCCGAGCTCCCGCGGCCGCTAAAATTAGCAAAGCGGCGAACGCGTCGCGCCCCCGCCCTCAGACTCCCGTTGCGCCCCCAGCCCGTGCCACTCCGTCGCCGCGTCCGGTGGCATAAAATAAAACCCAGACCCCTCCCCCGTTTATCCTTCAAGAGAAGGCAGCTTGGGATCGAGTTTGCCTGGCCCTTAAGGCCAAAAATATCAATTTCACGAATGCCCGTAACCTCGCGAACAGCATTCAAACGATGAGCTACCGCCCGATTAGCCTCCTCATGTCTCTAGGCAAACTGTATGAGCGTCTGCTCTACAAAGGCCTCAGAGACTTCGTCTCATCCAAGGGCATTCTCATCGATGAACAATTCGGATTCCGTACAAATCACTCATGCGTTCAACAAGTGTACCGCCTCACGGAGCACATTCTTGTGGGGCTTAATCGACCAAAACCGTTATACACGGGAGCTCTCTTCTTCGACGTCGCAAAAGCGTTCGACAAAGTCTGGCACAACGGTTTGATTTTCAAATGCCGTGCCGGATAGTCTCGTGCTCATCATACGGGACTTCTTGTCGAACCGCTCTTTTCGATACCGAGTCGAGGGAACCCGCTCCTCCCCGCGACCTCTCACAGCTGGAGTCCCGAAAGGCTCTGTCCTCTCACCCCTCCTATTTAGCTTATTCGTCAACGATATTCCCCGGTCGCCGCCGACCCATTTAGCTTTATTCGCCGACGACACGACTGTTTACTATTCCAGTAGAAACAAGTCCCTAATCGCGAAGAAGCTTCAGAGACAACCCATACCCTGGGCCAGGAAGGTCAAGTACCTGGGCGTTACCCTGAATGCATCGACGATATTCCGCCCGCATATAAAATCAGTCCGTGACCGTGCCGCGTTTATTCTCGGTAGACTCTATCCCATGATCTGTAAGCGGAGTAAAATGTCTCTTCGGAACAAGGTGACACTTTACAAAACTTGCATAAGGCCCGTCATGACTTACGCGAGTGTGGTGTTCGCTCACGCGGCCCGCACATACATAGACACCCTCCAATCCCTACAGTCCCGCTTTTGCAGGTTAGCTGTCGGGGCTCCGTGGTTCGTGAGGAACGTTGACCTACACGACGACCTGGGCCTCGAATCAATTCGGAAATACATGAAGTCAGCGTCGGAACGGTACTTCGATAAGGCTATGCGTCATGATAATCGCCTTATCNAACGTTGACCTACACGACGACCTGGGCCTCGAATCAATTCGGAAATACATGAAGTCAGCGTCGGAACGGTACTTCGATAAGGCTATGCGTCATGATAATCGCCTTATCGTTGCCGCCGCTGACTACTCCCCGAATCCTGATCATGCAGGAGCCAGTCACCGTCGACGCCCTAGACACGTCCTTACGGATCCATCAGATCCAATGACTTTTGGATTAGACGCCTTCAGCTCTAACACTAGGAGCAGGCTTAGGGACTCCGGTAATCGTACTCGTCGAACTCGACAAAGAGGTCGACGTGCAACTTAACCCATGCATCAGCCCGCTGAGTTTCTCGCCGGATCTTCTCAGCGGGTCGTGATTCCGATCCGGTAGTAGATTCATTCGCGAAGCAATTGCTCTTGAGTTGTTAGGTTTCGTTCGGAGGCGCTCGGGCAGTTGTTAGCAAACCCCTCTTGGCTGAGCCTTTGCTCGCCCACTTGTCCCGGTGAAACTGGAAAGGCCTTCGGGCCACCAGTAAACTTTCAATCATAAAAAAAAAAAGTTAAAGGCGTCCAATCCGTGTGGACTTTCCCCTTTGAAATAGCACCGCAATGCTTTTCGCTGGGTTGATGTGTATGCGCCATTTTCGGAACCACTGCTCTAAAGTTTTTGATGCCCAGATTTGGTCGAACGCTTTTGCGAAGTCGTTTAGACAGCTCCCGTGTATAACGGCTTAGGTCGGTTAAGCCCTACGAGAATGTGCTCTGACAGGCGGTGCACCTGTTGTACGCATGAGTGATTTGCGCGGAATCCGAATTGTTCATCAATGCCAATGCCCCTGGATGTGAAGAAATCTCTGAGGCGTTTGTGGAGCAAACGCTCATAAGGTTTACTTAGAGACATGAGGAGGCTAATTGGGCGGCAACTCGTTGGATGATTTCTTTTGGTTTACCGGGTTATGTGACTCTGTTACCGAGGCCGGCGCGTCATCGCCACGCGGCCGGGTGACCCACAGGCCGTAAACACACCACTATTACCTACTACTCACGACCACGGCACGCCGCGCCGCCGCACCGCCGCACCGGTCACTAATGTTTGTTTTTTGTAAAAATTTTACTCATTCATGGATTGAAATCAACTTTGGTGGATTTTATCACAAGTAGTGGCTCGTCGTCTGTAGCAATAAATAGAGTAGAGTTCATGTGCTCAATGAGGCCTGCATGCTCCTTATATGAGTATATTAGCACGAATTAAAGTGTCTTAAAATGTAATGGAGAATACTTGGAAATGGATTACAAATAAAACATTTATGAGCCACGCCACTTAACCAGTGCACGCACGTACTGCTCCATGTGTGCGTGTGTGAGTGCTGCGTCACGTGTCGGCTTGTGGTCGGCCGACCTCGTGCCCCACGGTCGTAGGCTCAATTGTATTTGAGAGACATTTTCCTGGTTATCACACCGAACGCATTACAGCAGCTCTTGAACTCCATTCCAGAGTCAATTCATAAAAGAACTTTATATTTGTCAAGGCATTATTCAACCTTAAAGCGAACACGCTACATACAATGCCCTGGACACAAAATTCTTCACGTTCCCATTCCAAACTACACCCGCGGTTGTTTGTTGAGATAATATTAATAACAAATACGATTGTCATCGGTGTTTATATGAATACATGTGTTACGTGTGTTTCAAGCTAATCGCAAACGGCCTGCACGTGCGAATGACTTGTACGGAGCGACTATTACAAACGAACGCGCGACTCGTTATTGATTTGAAAGCTCCTGACATTTAAACTATAATCTAAAAAATTAATATCATGGTCGGCCGAAAACTAAAATTAACAACAATGCTTTAAAAGCGACGGTAGACGCTGACGATACTCAATATACATGTATGACTTAGCAATATCAGTCCATTTGTGTCAAATTGGCAAGGTCAGCATTACTGGGGATGTGTACTGTGATGGAGAGGCTCGCGACTCTCCGGCCAGCCCTGGGTGATCACTCGTCCCCGCTGCTCCTGTACCGCCGCTCCGCGCGACCTCATACAACACAACAGACGGTCTCCAACCTACAAGAGCAGGGGTGGGAAGTTTTGCGTCATCCGTCATCCGTCGACCTTGCGTGAACAGACGTGTACTTTTCCCAAAGTTTGGACAACTTTTTTGCAGGGAAAAAATTTAATACTTGAGGGGCAAAACAAAATGCCTTTGAAGAGTTTGTTGTATCCCGTACACCTGACTTCATCAAGAAGGGCATTGAGAAATTACTACTGCGTTGCTAGAGATGCTTCGATACCATACCACACCGTGGGTGTATATTATTATATTGATTTATAAAAAAAAAGATTTTTACGTTGTATGTATACTCAACGGAATTTTGTAGATAAAGAACTCATATAAGTGTGTCTAAAAGCAAACACTTTGTGACAAGCATCTTCACTTTAAACGAATGACTTTCCGATTCGGTTTTGATGCCCGCCACAGCGCCATCTGCAGCTCAGCCACAGGACACTTGCTCGCAGGTGGGCTGCATGTGCATCTAGAATTTAACTAATTCAAGAGTATGGGGACTGCATTCGTATGTAAGATACTAGACAGTCGAGGTATAGTAAATTAAAATTTGCACTAGAATTCTACTTTAAATACTTAGTGAGTGCATTATAACCGTTAACCGATCTATTGCAAGAACCGACACGGAGTCCACGAACACACCGTCAAGGAGTTGCATGGGCCACACTACACACCATCACACTGCACACTAGCACACTGCACACTAGCACACTGCACACTAGCACACTAGCACAAAAACACATTAACAAAAACCAAGGAAGGCAACTTTGTAGTTAGTAAAAATATAATCAAACATTCTTCCATTCACGAAGTAATGCGGCGGCGACGCGCGCTGCCACTCAGCTATCTCCCAAATTTATTTTGGACCGGTACAGATCCACAGTAATGTTTTGGGAAGAAAATTTGTAAATAAACAGCTTGCGCGATAGTAGCAGGTGCTTTTATATTACATAAAAAAGAATAGAAATTCGTTTTCCTTAAGTATAGGAAATTCTTGAAGACCAGCAGATGTTCATGGGACATGTGTTCACAGGACCTTGTGTTAAGTTGTTCGCAAAAGTCATGGCCCCGGCCGTTGCTCACGGATGCATACTAGGCGCGTTTTTTTTGAGCCTATAGACATCTACAACGTAAATGCCGCCACCCACCTTGAGATACGAGTTCTAAGGTCTCAGTATAGTTACAACGGCTGTCCCACCCTTCAAACCGAAACGCATTACTGCTTCACGGCAGAAATAGGCAGGGTGGTGGTACCCACCCGTGCCGACTATGATTTAATATTCTACTCACCGTTCAAGCTATAGATGCCTCCTCCTGAACAACAAGTCGCACACAGCATCAGCGTTACTGCGGTGCGGCAGTACACCTTGGACAGGCCCGTGGACCTGAGCATCCTGCTCCGTGGATGTGGGTCCAGCGCGGCGAGGGGCGCCCGGCGGTACGGTCAGGTCCGGGGACAGCGGGCGACTGAGAGCGCGCGCGACGCCCTCGTTCGCTCCTCCACTTTCGATTTACTTGTACTATTCAAGTCATTATTCCAAGAACAACGTGGTCATTACAATAAGCCTTCAAAAACGTAAAAGAAAATGGTTTTACTTTAAATATTTATTGCTCTAGATTGGCTAACGCGCCTGCCGCTCACCTGGGACACCTGCTGTAGAGCCGAACTCAAAGACAATGGATGTCGCTGGTCCGCTCGGGACACGAACCCTGGGCTCCGATCGAAGAGCCGTAGCTTGTAGCGGGATCCTCATGCGATCGTTCCCCAGCACTCGTCCAGTTCACTTAATGTACGTATCTCAAGCAACAGACGTACTTGCGATCTACATATTTATTAAAAAGTATTGACACAGTTTTTAAAGCAAAGATCTCGCTGGAAGAACCGCCGCCGAGATAAACCATACCAAATTTTTTATTATTCTTTGGAACATCCTCTAACTACCACTGAGTCTCTCAGCCAAATAGGCAGGACCGATGACCGGATATTTGAGTGTCTTTGAAAATTTAGAATCATTTAGGTATTAGGTATATTAGAAGAATAGTAAACATATAATGTAATGAAATAATCCAGAATGTTATTTGAGAAGTTATCTTTCGTCCAGTGGTCGCAGCTCGGGGTCACGCGTGCCCACTGGCTGGTGACCCACTATTATTATGTACCCTGATCTAATTCACGTACGCGGCTTAATGTCTTTATGACTTCCTTATATTTGAGTCGCACAACAACTATATAGACGCGCTAATGCGAGGCGACGCATGACGACGCGACGCGGGCGGCGGCCGCGTACAAAGAGAATGTTTCGTCTTTTTTTTTAAATTAAACTTAAATAAATGAGTTGCTGAGTTCGTGGCTTGTTTTTAAAATTATTTACTATGTAAATAGATAATATTTTATTATGTAAATTAAAAATTAAAACTGCTCAAAAACGCGAATGTGTAGTTGTCCAGTTCGACATTACAACATCAAATATTCTTTTTTTGTATAATTCTTGGCAGCCTGACAATACAGCTGCTGTGGCGAGTAGCCATCATACAACGCAAGATAATTGACAGATGCCTGAATCTCGCTTACGACATTTACAAGATAAGCTTGCATATATACAAGTTCCGAACAACAACATTTGGACGCATCATCGGTAATATCTCGAATATATTAAGTGTATAATCTATGGGTAATACGCATCACTGCAAATTGTCCTTCGACTTGAGCGAACCATATAGCTGGTTTTTCAGGCCAGAGCGGTGGTGTCCTGATATGTATAGAGGGTAGTTGTGTATTCGGGCACGCTGGCTCGACAGACGACGCCATCTTGACGTGTCGACGTGGTCGTGTGGTTACCTGCGAACGCGTCGTGTCCGATCCGCTGGATTCCGACATCTGTTTCTCCGGGGTGCTCGTAGTCGTGGGTCACCAGTTTAGTGAGATATATACGACAAAGGGAAGATCTTCCACCGAGCGGGTGATATTTGCTCGGTAGACCGACGCGACGGTCCGAATGTTTTTTTTTTAATTCCTACTAAAGCTGGTAGCCTTGAGAGGCTATTCCAGCGTAACCTCCTTAACTAGTAGGTGAGCTCACGGGGCTCAAACCTGACGACGTTGCTAACACGAACCCTAGCAAGAGCCGTGCTTCGCAGAATCTACCACCGGATCGGAGACGCGACCCACTGAGAAGATCCGGCGAGAAACTCAGTGGGCTGTGTCTGAGGGTTAATTTACTCGTCGAGCCCTTCGTCGCAAGCGACGGGTTCGACGAGCACGGTGACCGGTGCTTGAGGTACCTAAAAGCACCGTTAGTGGATCGGAAGGATCCGAGATGACGTGTTTTGGGCGACGTCGACTGCTTTCCATTCTGTCCGCAGGATCGGGAATGGCGAATGTTGTTGTTCGGAACTTGTATATATGCAAGCTTATCTTGTAAATGTCGTAAGCGAGATTCAGGCATCTGTCAATTATCTTGCGTTATATGATGGCTATCCGCCACACCTGCTTAGTGTCAGCAATTTATGCCAGTGTCGCGTAGTACAAAATCAAGCATGTTCTGAATTTGTTTTGTCATTTGTACAATGATAATCATATATCACAAGTACAAGCGTGCGCCAAGTCACCCAGCGCGCAAACTAGCGTCCACTTGGTACATGATTGAACTGTCCTTGAATTCAATCAAACTGAGACGGCTATGTCTCCTTTGTACAGTAGATATGGCATTAACACTATAGATTATACACATTATAGTAATATTTTGTTCATCGAGGGTATAGATATAGATAGATCATGTCGAGGGGTGAAATGCCTGGTTTGGTTTAAGGGACATTTCGCTTAACACGCTACAGTTATATTTGTAATTAAAGGTGCGTTTTATTTGGTATCAACATCAACAGTTCGATGTTGTTAATTGAACTTCAATCAAGTTTACTCCATTCAAATAGCTGAAGAAGTTTTTTTTTGTTATGATATTTTTTCCAAATCTTAAGACTGAATACTAAAATTATCATCATTTGGGGCACCCCATAACTGTGGTTACGAAAATTAAAGTCCCCCATCAGGAAAAGTTCAGAGAGATGATGGTGATTGACGCGTCCGAAAAAACAAAGATGTGGAGCAGGTTTCGTGAGCTAAATATTTGGTGTGAGATGAGGGCGCGGCGGCTCTGATGGCTCTGATGGCTCAGTGGCGTAGTGCGAGTGGAGCAGGTGGAGCAGGGCCGGCGGGCGAGGTGCTGTGCGGCCAACATCCGCTCCGGGTCCGCAGTGCAGTTTCACAACCATTGGTGCATTCAACACTCCGGAACGGCAATGTAGGGAACGGGCAAGGGCGATATTCGTTCTTGGAACATAGATTGAAATATAACATTAGGAGTTATTTATTTCTACAACTTTGATATTAAGAGAGTTATTTTTTTTAAAAAGGGAAGCTATTTTTAACCCATCTATCCATCTGATCTATCATCTAGGTCATCATAGAAACTCAGAATTTCACCAAGTCTTCGAGACTGCCGCACTGAGAAAGTTGTTTTTATTTAATACTAGCTGACCCGGCAGACTTCGTAGTGCCTCAATCGATAAATAAAAGACCTAAACTTTTGTAACAAAAGGAATCCATCCGACGGACACATCAAAGGAAACACAGAATTGTTATTTTTATTTCATTCCGAGCATTTTCATTTTCATTTTTTTTTAACCTTTTAAACCTTCTCTGGACTTTCACAAATAATTCAAGACCAAAATTAGCCAAATCGGTCCAGCCGTTCTCGAGTTTTAGCGAGACTTACGAACAGCAATTCATTTTTATATATATAGATAGGTAGAAGATAGATAAGGATAAAAAGGGCCTCGTTTTGAACTATGATCCTACGGTACCACTGAGTTATGAAATCTATTTTGTAAAAATTTAAAGAGAAAGATAGTGAGGGAATGTATTGATTTTTTTTGGAACGAAGATCCTTACGGCAGGCTTGGAGGGGATAGGGATTTTGCTGCGCGACCGAACTGAAAAAAATGTGATAGTAAAACCGTAAGAAAAAATCAGTGGAAAAAAGTGCGTGGAATAAAACCGTTAAATGAGACGTGCGCAGGCGCGACAGTCGCATACACAAGCGAGTAGTGTATAATACCTTTCTCTTTCTCCCTCTTTCTTTTCGTTCTCTCATCCATTCTCTTTCTATTTTGTAATTATTTTTATTATTTCTATTTTTCTATTTCTATGTAATTTTATGTTGTCAAACAAAAATAAAGAGACATATTTTGTTATTTTAGTTGATAATTTGAATTACGTTGTTTTTTATTTTAAGTAATTTATTATTTCCTAAAATACTGAATTTCCTAAATACTTTCTTGTACTTAAATAAAAACTAATCAGCAAAATTTAAGATAAAAATCAAGAAAACCTACATAAAATTGAGCACCATTTCTTTTTTTGCAAATTGTGTCGATTCTACATTAGCCGAAGGAACTTCGTTCCTACCTGGTGTCCCAGGACACCACATCTTTAATTTTTATTTAAGTGATTAGATACTGGTGGGCCGCAGGCCCTTCCAGTTTTACCAGAACAAGTGGACGAGCAAGGGCCCAGCCAGGAGGGGGTGGGATTTGCTGACAGCTACCCGAGCGTCTCCAAAAGAGACCTAACAACTCAAGAGCAGCAGCTGCTTCGCGAATGAATCTACTACAGGATCGGAATCGCGACCTGCTGAGAAGATCCGGCGAGAAACTCAGCGAACTGATGTTTAGGTGAGGTTGCACGTATGTGAGTATGGTAACCACAGTCCCTAAGCCTACTCCTAGTGACTAGATCTGATGGATCCGTAAGGACGTGTCTAGGGCGTCGATAAAGACTGGCACCTGCGTGATCAGGATTCGGGGAGTAGTCAGTGCGGCAACGACAAAGCTATTATCATGACGCATAGCCTTATCGAAGTAGCGTTCAGAGGCTGACTTTATGTGTTTTGGATGGATTGATTCGAGGGCCAGGTCGTCGTGTAGGTCAATGTTACTCACGAACCACGGAGCTCCGACGGCTAACCTGCAAAAGCGGGACTGTAGGGATTGGAGGGTGTCTATATGTGTGCGGGCCGCGTGAGCGAACACCACACTCGCGTAAGTCATGACCGGCCTAATGCAAGTTGTACAGTGTCACCTTGTTCCGAAGGGATATTTTACTCCGCTTAGGAATGTATTGACTCAGACGCAATGTGGTCTGGTAACTTAGAATTTGAGAAAAATTATAGCGAAGAAGAAGGATGGTGCTTAATGTCTTGGAATGTCAATTATAGAGTAGAAGATTCGTGGGAATCCTCAGCATAGCTCAGCTTATTCAGTGCGCAACCAAAACAACAGGAAAGAATTTGAAAAAAGATGAGTAGATCCTTGTAAGATTTTAAAGAGTATAGTATGAGTTGTTAACTATGCTTTATAGGATTTGGAGATAATTTTTAATGAAATGTTTCACGACTGCACGCCAATTCTGCACTGGTGGAATGGGTAGACGGTAACGTTTCCTCATACGATTTTATTAGCTTCGGAAATAAGTCTTGAAGCTTCTTGACATGATGTTGGGTGAGCTGCTTCGCAAATTAGTTTGTGGCGGTAGCCATCACAGAACACAACATATTAGACAGATGCCTGAATCTCGCTTACGACATTTTCAAGATAAGCTCGCATATATACAAGTTCTAAACAACAAAATTCGGACCATCGGTCTACCGAGCAATATCACCCTTTGTCGTATACCTACAAGTTATTGTCAAAATGTTTTTTTTTTTTTTGCTTAGATGGGTGGACGAGCTCACAGCCCACCTAGTTTTAAGTGGTTACTGGAGCCCATAGACATCTATAACATAAATGCGCCACCCACCTTGAGATATAAGTTCTAAGCTCTCAGTATAGTTACAACGGCTGCCCCACCCTTCAAACCGAAACGCATTACTACTTCACGGCAGAATAGGCAGGGTGGTGGTACCTACCCGTGCGGACTCACAAGAGGTAATACCACCAGTAAAACGTTGCATGCATCTAACCACGTTCCACTGTAACCACGTTAGAACCTCTCGATCCAAACCCATCCGTGAAATATTATGTGAAGGGATGACGTTTCTGTAATTATTATTGCATGACCTGTCATTATTAAATAATATAGACAGTCAGAATGTCATAGAATCTATTTTTGTAAAGAAATGAACCAAATGAACTAATGCAACTAAAAGGTTCCGGCGCCGGCGGCCCGGTCCAGTTGCAACAAGGTACTTACAATGTGTGTATGTGTGTGTGTATATGTGTGTACTCGGATGATACTGAACGTTCACTTCACTGAGTCTCCTCGACGCGGCGCGGACGTGTCTTATCTGTAGTTGCTGTCCCCACTGCGCTCGGTGATGTCAACATCCCTGGCTCGTTTTACGTAAACTTGCTAATTATCAGAATTCGATAAATTGTTATTATTTTTTGGAAAATTTTAATTAAGAGCTTTCCAGCATTAATTAAAACGAAGCAAGATCATAGGTTGTACCAGTTCCGAACAACAGCATTTGGACTGACATCCCGGCTGGATGCTGGGCGCGCACTATTCTAAAAGATTTTTTAATTTTTTTATTCACCTTCTGTTTGGTACGATGCAGTATTGTTATACATATATGTATTATCTGCTTGCTGCGGCATTAAAGCCGTTATCATTATGAACTAAAATTGAGCACTCCCTTTTCTTAAACATAGTTATGCACTTAGGGCCTACACGCTTGTGACGCTGCCTCCTCGGGATCTAATAAATCCAGTTTGAAGACGTAGGATTTTCAAAAATGGAGCGTAAGTGTACGTAATTTTAAATTTGCAACTCACGCGCGCTCAACTGCTCGTTGCTCATTGAGTGACCTTGAGCCATCTGATAAGGCCCATTGTGAGCGGCCACGTCTCACTGTCGTATGTCCTCAGGGGCAAGTCTTAAGACACTACGGTATTGGGAATGCGAAGATTATGCGCAGCTTCCCGAATGTTGTCCATTCTAATTAGATTCGACTATTGATATCTTACCTACCTAGTTGGACCTTTTTTGCTAGATAGACGTACTCGTGAACAGGTTCGAGCGTGGGAAGTACACGGGCATTCGACATAGTTGTCGTTTTGTCCACGTTCATAGTACGGCCCCACGGACAGAAGCCTTGCTGAGGTAGCTAGTTGACACTGCCCGAAGGATTGCCAGGTTGAAGTGGCAAAGGACGTTGCTCGAAGAACAGATGGGCGCTGGGGCCGAGGGGTTCTCGAGCGGCGACTGCGCCCCGGCACCAGCGCGGCGAGACCTCCCCCCCTCCCCCCGGGTGGACTTACGACCTGCTGAAGTCGTCTGGATCGAGACTGTGCGTTTGTCCGGTCGTTTCTCTAATGAAAGACGTACTTAACAATTGTACACAGTTGACATTCACGATGAAGGAATTGCATCGTGTGATAAAAACCAAACCCGCAAAATTGTAATTTGCGTAGGTAATGATTAGTGGCAGAACGTGTTGATACCACCACCCTCCCTAATTCTGTCGTGAAGTAGTAGTGTGCTTCGGGGTGAAGACTGGGACAGTCGTTAAATTGTAAAAACTGAGACTATAGAACTCAAGCCTCAAGGAGGGTGGCAACATTTGAGTTGTAGATGTCTATAGGCTTCGATACTACTTAATATTAGGTGGGCCGTGAGCTAGTCCACACATCTAAGTAATAAAAAACAAATTGTGATGTAACTTGGGGGAAGTCTGGCTTGGAAGTGTGGCTTGTGACGATAATTACAAACAAACAAAATTCCAATATAAATTGATTTTAAATACATGCACAGCTTAGCGTTATTCCCAGCATCCGATATCACCACGCTGATATAGCGCTTAATACAATATTTATAGAGGTAGATTTACTTTATTCGGTTAATACTAATCAACTGCTCGTGTCGACCACTTAGCAACTTTCATAAATATTATACTTATATCTACATATTACTACTCGTATATCTACTGTAATTACACTAACATTACAATTACACACACTATTATTCTTGCGCAGTTTATCCGTGATGATGGCGCCTGCTAATTGTCGAAATATCGGCAAGTCATGAGAGGTGTGTGCGGAGGGGCGGCGAGGGGCGGCGAGGGCGGAGGGGGCGCGAGTCAGAGCTCGGCCCACGCGATGCAGTCCCGCAGCACTCCGTTGAAGCGGTCGGCGAAGAGCGAGTTGGTCGGCAGCGCGAACTTCGAGATGTCCCCGTCCGTGGCGGGCGCCAGGCTCGCCTCCACCGTCACCAGCGGCAGGACCACCACCGCCATCAGCAGCGCGCGCGGGACCATCTGTCACGACACACGTCACCACGTCACGCTGGGACATTCACGCTCCAACACACCTTACTATAAATAATCATTACTGGGCTAGGCAGTGACTTTCTTATTGTCACAGACTTTATACAGATTATATTAATGCCCCAACATTTGCTCTTGTCTGGAACACCATAGTGGGACTTTAGTTTATCTGTACTAATAATAATAATAATAACTCTAATAATACTAAGAGGAAAGATTTGTTTGTTTGTTTGTATTGAATAGGCTCCGAAACTACTGAACAGATTTGAAAAAAAATTTCAGTTTCGAAGCTACACTACTCCCGAGTGACATGACGTAGGCGACAATCTTTTTTGAATAAATTAGGGATCCTTACTAAAACTTTAATAATGTAACCCAAGGTGTAAAAAAATACCTAAAATATTCTTTACATCGCGTGCCCTGCGAAAAGTATTGATGATAGAATAAAATAATGTACTACCACTTTGTAGAACACATTATTATTTACAAAAAGTGTCGTACTTTTTTTTTTCATTTACATCAGATTTTGCATCCATATTACACTCATTAATATTTCATGTATACTACAATTAAATAAAAATAATAACTATAATCTCGGTTATTATTTTTATTTAATTATGCCACAATATATTGTTTTATTTAAAAAAATAAAACAACGTCAAACATCGTTAAAATTTTTGTTTTTGTTGAACAATTCCTCAGAGCACTCCCCATGGAACATACGGTACAAAGTACAGAGGGAACCGAAGTCCCTCCGCAGACCCAGAGGTTCCAAACGATCCGTGAGAATGGGACTGTCGACAATCCGAACGGCCCTCTTCTGTATGGAGTCAAATGGAAGAAGCTGGTATTTCGGAGCCCCGGCCCAGAGATGGGAGCAGTACTCCACGCGAGGCCGGACTTGTGCTTTATGAAGCAAAAGTCTTTGTCCAGGCGTGAAGTACCGCTTCGCTCTGTTGAGGACTCCCAGCATTTTGGACGCCAACTTGGCTTTGCCTTCCAAATGACTCCGAAATTGGACATCGCCCGAAATGTCGACCCCAAGTATCCCGATACTCTCGGAAGGTTGCAGGGATACTCCTTGGAATTGCGGCGCCACGACAAAGGGGTCCTTCTTCGCAGTGAACTTGTGTCTTTAACGCCCCAGAGAGTTCTCCATTTCAGACATAAGTTTTGATCGTCTCTCTTGCACCACGCTCCGAGAGAGACTCTGATGGCCGATATATCGCGCATCCCCCGTGCTATCATCTGCATAGCAATGCATGCCATCAATAGACAGCATGTCATTGATATACAGGATGAAAAGCGTGGGGGAGAGCACCGAACCTTGTGGAACGCCAGCGTTAATGGTCATGGTATCAGAGCAGTCACCGTCTACAACGACCGGGCTCCGCCCATCCAAAAAACTAGCGATCCACTTGCAGAGACCCTCGGGGATTCCGTAAGATGGTAGCTTCGACAGAAGTGCCCTATGCCAGACCCTGTCGAAGGCCTTCGCGATATCAAGGCTCACAGCAAGAGCCTCGCCCTTGCTCTCCAAGGCTTCAGCCCACCTGTGTGTAAGGTATACAAGAAGATCGCTATGAGCGACCGTGACGGAAACCGTACTGTCGGTCACTGATCAGCTGGCGATCTTAGTGATTAAAAAGAAAGCACCTACTACATGTATAATGCTATCAGTCAGAGAGACTTGCATTTTGGACTCATCCACTGCTATACTGATACTCGTACCGACGCTACATTACAGGATACTACTACCGTTCTGCTGAATTCTTAACTCTCTGCTATCCCTATCTTAAGTAATGGTGGTAGGACAAGTTGGCGGCACAGTGGCCCTAGTCGTCGCGTTGCGTCGCGGCTAACATCAAGTACCTGTTTGAGTTCCGATTGGAAGGTGTCCCAGGGGTAGACGTCGTCGACAGCGATGTCGAGGCGGCGCAGCGCCATCGCCAGCTGGTCGTGGTAGTGTCGCAGCAGCGGGCGGTAGTGGTCGCGGCGGAAGGGCTCGTCGGTCCCGAGCAGCACGTAGTACAGCAGGTCGGCGGCCGGGCAGCCCGCGTGCACCGTCTGGTAGTCCACCACCATCGTCTCGAGCTCCTGGAACACAATGTCTTACGGCTTTATTCCGATACTATCACCATATGTTTTACTACGTACAGACGTATGTGTGTCAGTTTGTGTGGTTGACCGCGGACTGACATGCGTCTGACATGGTTCCCGGTGTGTACAACATGCATGCATGTGTGTAACAACAGTACAGCAACAGTGCTCCCTGGGCACCGGCCGAGCATCCTCCTCGGGCGAGGCTACGAGTTCATACGATGTGGTAAGAACGTCCCACTTGGGCCCGCTCTAATGAACCAGTCATGCTTTACTGTTTCAAGGATCATAGATGTTATAAGGTCATAATGAAAATATCGACATATATCTAAAAGTGTACTACCACTGTACTATACCACTTTACATCGAGTAGGCCGTGATTTATTTTACCCGTCTATCACAATGGAACACACACTAACTTGAATGCTTGTGACACGAACGCCGAGAGCTGGCCGACCCCAGCCCCCCGCCCCCCGGCCCCCCGAGCGACCTTACAACGCAGTTCAAGTCTCAGGGCCTCTGGACCCAGCGGCGCGTTGCGATTGCTGTGGCGTTCATTCCACCTTAATTGTCGTTTCGGAGAGTACATTGAATACAGATGAAGTAAAGTAACGGCTCCTGGCTCTTCTGTACATGCACACTCACACGCCTCCGACTCGAGGTCGCCCGATGGTGTCGAGTCGCGGGGCCCGTCGGCTCAGCGCTTCTCCTGTCCTGTACAACACATTGTCCGCTCGTCTCATTAGCTCTTGTCAAGCTAACGAATAAAGAACAATAAAATTCATTCGGAGCTCGATCTACTCGTTTTTATTAAAATATTCAGCTCATTTTTGTCAAATCAAGTTTTGGTGAGCGACCATGAATTCTATGCTTTGTAATGTAATACTACAAGAGTGCGAACAGGTGAAGCGTGACTTGAAGCGCATGTTGTTGCGACATCAGGGCCATTATCTGTCCCAGAAACCAATCGAAGAGTTCAGTGAATGTTTGTCGACCGTGACGTCACAGTGCGACCACAAGATGACGCCAGCAGAGATACGCGGTTGTATGTCTAAGAGACGCACGGACGGAGCAAGGGAGTGGCGGGCGCGGGTCGAGGTCGCTCCTCGCGGCGGACGGCGCCGGTCTCCGAGTGACCTCTGCACGCGCGCTGCCGGTGCGACAAAAACTCAAGCCGCACGAAAATATAATGACAGATAAATTGAGGCGTCCACCGAGCGATCACTGCTCATCTCTGTTACATTCTGTTCAGTGTACGAGTGTCTCATTGCTCATTTTCCAAGTATCGCAATAGCACGCTGCGGCCGCCGACCGCGTGCCCGGCTCCCGCGCCGACACAGCTGACATAAAAACTTTTTTTTTTGCTTAGGTAGATGGACGAGCTTACAACCCACCTGGTGTTAAGTGGTTACTGGAGCCCATAGACATCTACGACGTAAATGCACCACCCACCTTGAGATATCAGTTCTAATGTCTCAGTATAGTTACAACGGCTGCCCCGCCTTTCAAACCGAAACGCATTACTGCTTCACGGCGGAAATAGCCAGGGTGGTGGCACTTACCTGGGCGGACTCACAAGAGGTCCTACCACCAGTAATTACGCAAATTTTGCGAATTTGATTTTTATTACACGATGTTATTCCTTCACCGTGGAAGTCAATAGTGAAGATTTGTTGAGTAGGGATGTATTTCATTAGAAAAATTGGTATCCGCCTGGGATTCGAACACCGGTGCGTCGGTCAAAACGAATGCACCGGACGTCTTTATCCTTTAGGCCACGACTTCATCAAAAAAGATATCAATGACTCCATATCAAACATTAAGTTAGCCAGAAAAAAATATATACATATATGAAAAAAAAAGCGTTAAAAGAGTTGTGATGCATTGTTACTACCGGCTGTTGGTTTAATGATACTGTGTGCCTAGCCCGTGTGCCTGGTCTGCAGCCCGGTCAGTCCAGTGATTGTGCTCCCAGATGAAGAGCGCGCCGCCGCCCTGCACTAGCCCTGCACTGTGATGTTCTACATCGTTAATACGATGTCTCTTGATGATGCTGATGCACCTCGGACCATTTACGCGCACTCCCGGTGTACTTACAAAGGTAGGCAGGTAGGTATTTCCGATTAGCTCCATCATAAACTGGTCAGATCGTTACTTTGTACTTTGTACCTCACCATTTGTTGAGCATCACTCCGGGCCGCTGAAGGTCGCCGTATCTTACACGACTGCTCACTGGCGGCCCCCCGCACCCCGCCCCACTATTGTATCGTCTGATCCAATAAGTCGTCGTGGCCTAACGGATAAGACGTCCGGTGCATTCGTGTTGAGTGATGCACCAGTGTTCGAATCTCGCAGGCGGGTACCAATTTTTCTAATGTAATATGTACTTAACAAATGTTCACGATTGACATCCACGGTGAAGGAATAACATCGTGTAGTAAAAATCAAACCCGCAAAAATTATAATTTGCGTAATCACTGGTGGTAGGACCTCTTGTGAGTCCGCGTGGGTAGGTACCACCGCCCTGCTTGTTTCTGCCGTGAAGCAGTAATGCGTTTCGGTTTGAAAGGTGGGGCAGCCGTTGTAACTATACTTGAGACCTTAGAAATTACATCTCAGGGTGGGTGGCGCATTTACGTTGTAGATGTCTATGGGCTCCAGTAACCACTTCACACCAGGTGGGCTGTGAGCTCGTCCACTCATCTAAGCAATATAAAAAAAAATCCTTTGCGCGACTGAACTCTCCATCATCATCATCACATACACGTTCCATATATTATAGCGGTACCAACATCGTGGGTACTTCGAGTTTACCCTTCCAACGCATGTCCATCCACGTCCGATATACGACACGACAACACGACACGACGATACGACACGACGACACGACACGACGCGACGCGACGTGATGCGACGCGACGCTCATGTGCAAATACCGATTAAAGATTCTCACCGAACTGAATAATAATCGTTAATTAGTTATATACTGACTGACACTTAGAGCAGGTAGTTACACACACAGTCAGCACGGGAGCACGCGCGGGCCGGCGCCGCGGCGTGTTACAGGTTCAATTGGGACATCAAGTTACTACATACGTACGTACATAGTTTCATGCTAATTCTAGTATATTCTTAGATTTTTGCAACTTGTAGACGTAATTCTATGCAAGGTATTTTTTCTTGTCAAAACAAAACAATTAGATTTGTACTACTCGAAAAATGCTTGAAAATTCAGAAATAATTTAATGAAAAAAACGCTAGATTAGGCCTTAAAATTAGGTATATCACAATTCTATAGATCGTGATGAGATGATTGTCGCTGCAGCATTGGAGGCTGCGGTGATGAACGTCGACTCGCAGACGAACAACGTGCGGTAGGACGCTCTCTCGCGGGCCTCATGCTACTGACACTATGACATAGGTAGGAAGGCGCTAATGTAACCCGACGTACCTGATCGACTCGCCTGACGAGCAGATTGCTGGGCCGGTAGTCGCCGTGCGTCATGACGGCGACGCTGAGCGGGCTGCGGAACTTTGTGAACTGCTTGTTGTAGTCGTCGAGACAGATGGCCCTCATCAGCTTCCTCTTGTGTTGCTCGTCCTGCACGACCTCGACGGCGCCGCGCACCATCCGCTCCATCGCGAGCTTGGCGCCCTCGTCTTGCACCTCCCGCGGCGCGGCGGTGAGGCGCCGGACCGCCTCCGCGTGCAGCTGGGGCAGCTCCCGTGCGCACGCGAACGACAAGGCGTGGAAGCGAGCCAGCGCCGTCACCGCGCTCCTCGCGTGCTCCCAGTCCACCGACGCGAATCGGTCCGGGGTCGTGAACCCTCGGTCGCGCAGGTCCTCTAGCAGCACTGTCTCCTCGCCGACGACGGGATTCCCACCGAAGTACTTCGGGAACACGAAGCACTCGTCGGGCGGCACAGCGTGGTCGCGCTGCAGCTGCCCGTAGGCGCTCGCCAGCCGCTCGTACACGTACTGCTCTGTGCTGTACAGGAGCTCCGCGTTCATGATGGCGCGCATCTTCTCACCGATATTGGCGACCTTCGCGAAGAGTCTCCGCGAGGGGAGCCGCACCCCGTACAGCGCGGAGGTGTAGTTGGCGCCGCCGCTGGTCAACTCGTCGAGTTCCGGTTCCTCGTCAGGGAAGAGGCGACGCAGCAGATCGCGCAGGACACCCTCCGCGGGAGACATATCGCTCTCGGTGTGGCCGGGCGCCGCTCGCGCTCTCAATGCGGAACTTCCGAGGTCGGAGCCGACGACGAACACAAATCGAACACAATTATCAGCGAGTATCGGATGGCGACGCAGTAACCCGCTGCGAGGCGCCGCTAGACTGGCCCGCGCCACGTCGAGCTGGGCGGCGCGGCCTCGCCCGGCCCCCGCACTGCCGCCGCGCACACGCACACTCTCGACCCTGATCAATTATCTCTGGCTTGTAATAAATCAATTAATAATAATATGATAGTCCCCTGTTTAGTTTGAGAAACGTGTCACGGGCGCAGTGCGCGCCGCTCACCGACATCATCATATTATATTGTTATTATGATTCTCTCGTTACAGTGATTCATTCAATATTGTATCTGTTTCGGTGGGTTCATAGTTGGAAAGGATGTCTCCTGCCCGGTGTCTGGACGCCGTCGCGCCAAGAGTGATACTCAAATATTATTATTTCAGATTATATTGGAACAAAATGCGGTTAGTACCAAGTGGTACTAGGTGGTTATAGCCATAAATCATCACTCAGAACATTTAGGGATATGGTGGGATAAATAAAGATAATGCGAATACACTTGGTAGCGTATGTAAGCGACTTCGCTGTCGCATGCTTTGTTTGGTCCGCGTGTGGATTTGTTATGATCAGTTGACAGAGCGGCGGCGGCGGCTGCGAGCCACTGCACTGTACTGTACAACAGAGCTGTGAGCTGTGTGCGTGTGCGTGTGTGCGTGTGTGTGCGTGGCGCGGGAGACAGCACGCACGCGAGGGTAGTCGTGAAGTGTCCGCGCGCAGACCGGGCCGCCGGGTTCCGTCCGTTCGTCACCTCGTACTTCATATCACATCGTGACTCGCGCGAGTGTGACTTAGCTGGAGACCGAGACTCCACTCGCCTTGTGCTTGGAATGTTCTCGAAAGAACTCCCCTTAGAGTCTACGGTGGGTAAGATTTCCAACGCACTCAGGTGGTGCACACCGTATGAAGGATATCGCTACGGAAAGAGATGCGTCCCACAGTGAGCGAGTCGCCCAGTTGAACCAGTACAATCTCTGGCGATGTTGCGACGTGGCTTCTTCACAAACATATGTTGGTACACGTACCCCTAGCTCGTAATAATAAATGTAATTTTATTTGTATTTAGATATTAGATTCATTAACACCAGACTGGCGGCATGATCCTAGATCTGTATGGATGTGTATATTTGAGATCAGAATTTTCAACACCCATTCCGCTACTTTCTTTACTTACTGGAGTATCTATTGACTTATTTACAGTTAACAAAAACATAGGCACGTGTTAATGCAAGCGGAATCCTAAAATGTAAATGGCAAATGTCGGGTGGCGTTAGTGCAGTCACCCCGCGGTCAGTCCGCTTGAACAGCGAGCCCGACATGACGGACACCGAGGAGCGGGACCGCGCCAGCTCTGTGCTCCGCGACGTGATGCTGCGGCTCCACTACTGCGTCGTCAACGAGCTGCAGCCGCTGTCCTCCGGCGGCGCCAACTACACCTCGCTGCTGTACCGGGCCCGCCTGCAGGCCCCGGGCCGCCCCGACCTGCGGCTCTTCGTGAAGGTCGCGAACATGAGCGAGAACGTCCGGGCGCACGCCATCAACAGCGTGTACGACACCGAGCTGCTCGTCTACGAGGAGCTGTCGAAGCTGTACCGCGCGCTGGAGGAGGAGCGCGGCGTGGCGGAGCCGGAACGTTTCGTGTTCCCCGCGTTATACGGCGCGCGGTCGCGGCGGCTCGAGGAAGCACTGGTGCTGGAGGACCTGCGCACGTCGGGGTTCAGCCCCCGCGACCGCCTGCGCCCCGTGGACTGGGAGTACGCGTGCGCCGCGATGGAGCAGCTGGCGCGGCTGCACGCGCTCGGCTTCGCGCTGCAGCTGCAGGCGCCGGAGCAGTACGAGCGGCTGGCGCGGCGCGTGGAGATGCGCTTCGACCTGGAGAGCACGGGTGCGTGGTCGAGCACGGTGGAGCTGGCGCTGGCGGCGACGCGGCCCGAGCACCGCGCGCGGCTGCAGGCGGCCCTCGCCTCACCCGCCGCGCGCTTCCTGCACCACTACACCGCGCTCCGCCGCAGCACGCTCGTGCACGCCGACTACAGGACCTGCAACCTCATGCACAGGCGCCACCAGGTATCTATCTACCCTACATATAATATCATCCTTATCTAAAACCTTAGATTCCACGTTTTCCGAACAATCAAAACTACCCACCCGTAGATTGAATTATTAGGAACACATGAAAGCTGAAAACCAATAATCAGTTTTCAGCTTTGTTATGTACCTCCTGTACAGTGAGCGTCACAGGTCTCCAATTCGCGTGTGGCGACTCGTTACACAATAGTTACATTATTATTATAATGTGTGTGTGGCACAGGGCGGCGCGCTGGAGGTGCGAGTGGTGGACTACCAGACGGTGCAGCGCGGCAGCCCCGTCGCTGATGTGCTGTACTTCGTGTTCACCGGCTCCGACGAGGAGTTCCGCGCGCGACACCTGCGCCCTCTGCTGGACCACTACCTGCAGCGTCTCCACGCCGCGCTCGGCCGCCTCCGCCTCGACCCGCTCACCGTCTACTCCGCGCAAGACTTCGAATACGAGCTCAAGGAGAAGCTGCCGTTCGGGCTGAAGATTGCGGTGTACACGCTGCCCGTCATCACGGTGGAGGAGGAGGATGCACCAGAACTCGGGACCGACTTCGACAGTTTCAAGGTGAAGAAGACGAGCAGCCGCTTCCCCGCCAGGATCAACGGCATCGTTGACGACTACGTCCGCTGGGGTCTCATCTGAGGCAGTTTGTTCGGCTTTAAGTTGTCGTGATTGGGGAGTGCAGATGTATGAGTAGATGTCTGAGCGTATGACCACGACCGGCCCGAGGGTCTCCGCGCCTCCGCCCTCCCGCCCGCCCGCTGCGGGGGTGTCCGTCCGACCGTTCTAATGTTGTAATATTTATTGATTAGTTGACTTGAACTGACTGTAATAACATACTCGTATAAGATGTAAGGTTCGTAGACCGCGCCGAGCGTCTACATCGGTCTGTGCGCGGCGGGGGCGCGGCCCTGCTCTGTGGCGCGTCGGCTCGCTCTCGCTCTATAGTTTTAGTTAATGTTTAGATTCAATGTGTATTAATTAGTTAGTTAGTTGACATAAAAGATTGTTGATATTGAACTAATAAGAAATGTTAATTATAGATTAAGCTAAATAGTTAAATTTGAACGTAATGTAAAATAATTATAATGATAGTGGATGACAGGAGCCAGCAGGGACTAGATGTAAGGGCAGGGACGTGTGCCGTATAGGACGCGACCTGCCTCTCTGTTAATGTGTCGTCGTGTTGCACTTGTCATTGACATGTTTGTTGTTGTTAATTCATTAATATAATATTTAGAGTCGATTCAATAAATTAATCTTTACTGAACTTATTGTCTTGTCTTCCCCTACTATACCAGGCTTCCAGCACCCCCGCCCTGGATGGCGACCTACTAGCGTTGACATTCACATCAAGGTGCAATCAGCCGACGACCATAGGGACCTCTCTTCGTACCTTCGTAAGGAGCGTATAAGCTTTCACACTTATACGCTTCTGGAGGAGCGTGAATCGGCGCGGTCATATGCGGCATCCCGGAGGAATTAAATGCCGAGCTCGTCAAGGCCGACCTACTGGAACAAGGTCTGCCGGTCAACTCCGTGCACCGCATGCACACAGGACGCGGGAGGGGGGAGGCATACAATATGGTTCTCGTCGCCCTCCAGCCTAGCCCCGAGCGTAAACAAATCTTCAACGCCCGTTGTAACTATACTGAGACCTTAGAACTTATATTTCAAGACGGGTGGCGCATTTACGTTGTAGATGTCTATGGGCTTCAGTAACCACTAAACACCAGGTGGGCTGTGAGCTCGTCCAACCACCTAACTAATAAATAAATAAAAAATAGTCTGTAGGCTTTCCGGAATAACCGTAGAAACCCCCAACAGTGCCTTTTGCACTCCGAGCCAGTGCCATAGCTGCCAGCTGTACGGGCCCTCCTCCCGTAACTGACACGTGCGCCCTCTATGCGTCAAGTGTTTGGGCGATCGCGCCATGGCCTTATGTACTCGCGATCAAAAAACCGCAAAGGAATCGCCTAGCTGCGTCTGTGCCGAACACAGGGTCACCCCGCGAATTACCGGGGTGCCCGGAGCCCCAAAATTAATAGCCGCGTCGCTCGTCAAAACCACCTCCGTGCTTCCGGCTCTGACACGAAAGTCGTGGCAGCCTCTGTGCCGAAGACCAACCCTGCCTTCGTGCTGACGCCGGTGCCTCCCCCGCGACTTGCCCTCCAACCGCGTCCGACAACCTCGCTCTAGCGATCGACTTTTTTCAGTCGATCAACTTTGTGATTACTTAACTTTGTGATCTTTGTTAACTTTATGATCAAGTTTATGATTTTTTTTTGCGGGACCATCAAATTCACATATTTTTAGTGCAGGAGAATATACTTATAGACTAGTCCACGAGTGCCATTTGGACCAACTTTTTTCAGCAGTCTCCGACAATTATAAATAATGTGTCATTCGATTCGGAATTGCATCTAGATGATTTTTGAAAAAAATTACGTTCCGCTTGCAACAACTTGTAAAAAGCTTGTAAAAGTTATTAACAATTAACTACAAAAAAGCAGGTTTAGTTTTTTACAAATGTCTCAAAAGGTAATAAAGATTTTTCAAATTTGAAAAAAGATTAAAAAAGAGGAGGAAATTTCCTAAAAAAAAGTCTCGATTCCCGAAGCTGTAAGAGCAAAATGTATAATTTTCCCAGAGGGATGAAAATACGGCCGAAAAAAGCCACGCCTACTTTGGAAACTTTAACAATAAAAAAATTTTAAACATACTAAATATGAAAATTAAAAATTGATAAAATTCAGGCACTAACTGAATAGATGTGTAAACAATAATCCGCTTGAAAAAAATTTGTTTACTTACTTATTGAATAGTTAGAGACTTGTCTAACTACTGAATAACTAAATGAAGGCAAGGGCGACCTATGAAACGATGGAGTGACGATATCATAGACACCGCTCAAGCTAAGAACAAAGAACAAGCTGGAGGAGACCTGTACCCAAATAGGGGTTCCTATCGAAACAAAATAAACAACAATAAAATTAGATCAAAATGTTAAAATCATATATATATAAGATTATTAGGTATGTTGTTTTATTTATATGTATTATATGTTTATTAAAATAAAACTTCAATGTGTTGCTTGTTATTTCGGACAAAGAAACGACATTTAAAGTTTATTTATAAACTAATTAGAAATTATTTTTCATAAAATTTTATACAATGACATAATATTTATCTGTCAAGCTTCTCCACTTTACAGCACATGCGCGGACGTTCCGGCACATGTCGACAGCGCATGCGTGACATAATTAAAATTAAAGAAAGGAATAACTTTCTTTACATATATTTAAGAATATCTACATGTAATACTTAGGTGATGGGAAATAAAAGGCTTTATTATTATTATTATTATTATTCAATGGTTAATTAATAATTTTTTTCTACTTGAATATGAACATTGCAAGTATGTTAATTGTTAAACTATAAATTTCAGATTGATTTCCCCTCTTGTGGAGCAATTATTGAATGGCTTTAGGAATAGAACCCCGTTGGAAAAATTAGAAAATGTTTACTTTTCAGTTTTTTTCTTAAATTTTCGTTGTTGCAAAATTAAAAACTTAAATTAATCATCGAAAAAAAAATGTTTTTTCAAGTTTTATTAACGATCCGTTTTTATGTTAATATAGAAACTGCGTAGAAATATTTTTTTTAATTTTTTATCTCTAATTGTTTAAAAAATTGTTATAAACAAGTGCATTGCTTATAAGATAATTGATTTTTTTTTAAGAAATTTCAATCTTTGATACAAACAATGATTTTTAAAAGTAAAAATTTTCCTTAAAAATTTTTTTATTGCTTAAATACGCATTTATTAATTAGCAATTATTTTCTCCCATTTCTAATTAATTATAGGAAATAATTTTTTTTTATCATTATTTGTTTTTCTTTTTCTTTTTGATATAAAAAAAAAACATTATTTTTCATTGCTAATGCAATAAACAATTTTTTATAAACAATTTTTTTTTTCTTTATATGTTTTTTTTCTATTCTACTTTCTGTCACAAAAGCGGAAATGATTTTTTTTTATATTGTTTTTAAATTGTAAACACATCAGGTGGAACTCGCATACCACAACTCCAAATAGAAGACACCTCGACATGTTAGTCGATGATCTCGCTTTCGATATCGTCGCTCCGCTAACCCCGACTCACTACCCGCTAAGTATCGCGCATCGCCCGGATATACTCGATATAGCATTTTTTAAAAACAACTCTGCGCATACGTTCGATCACAGTATTTTAAGAGAGTTTAAGAGACTCAGACCTTTTTCCCGTCGTTGTGAAGCTCAGTGGCACTTCAAATTATTCGACTATCAGGGAACTCTTTTTTTTTAGGATTGGAGGATTAAGAGCAAGCAGGACAGATGGGCAAGCAAAGACTCCACCAGGAGGGTTGGGATTTGCTAACAGCTACCCGAGCGCCTCCGAAGGAGACCGAACAACTCCAGAGCAGCTGCTTCGTGAATGAATCTACTACCGGATCGGAATCGCGACTCGCTGAGAAGATCCGGCGAGAAACTCAGCGAGCTGATTCATGAGTTAGGTTGTACGTCGAACTCTTTGTCAAGTTCGACGAGTACGGTTACCGGGTTCCCTAAGCTTGCTCCTAGTGTTAGATTTGAAGGCGTTTAAGGCAAAGGATTTGAGGGGTCCGTAAGGTCGTGTGTAGGGCGTCGACGGTTACTGGCTTCTGCGTGATCAGGATTCGGGGAGTAGCAGCGGCGGAAACGATAAGGCGACTATCATGACACATAGCCTTATCGAAGTACCGTTCCGACGCTGACTTCATGTATTTCTGGATTGATTCGAGGCCCAAGTTGTCGTATAGGTTCGTCGTGTTCCTCACGAACCACGGAGCTCTGACGGCTAGCCTGCAAAAGCGGGATTGTAGAGATTGGAGAGTGTCTATATGTGTGCGGGCCGCGTGAGCGAACACCACACTTGCGTAAGTCATGACGGGCCTAATGCAAGTTTTGTAAAGTGTCACCTTGTTCCGAAGGGACATCTTACTCCGCTTACAGATGGTACATGGGGTAGAGTCTACCGAGAATAAACGTGGCACATTCGCGGAATGATTTTATATGCGGGCAGAATGTCATGGATGCATCCAGGGTGACCCCTAGATACTTACCTTTCTGGCCCAGGGTATGGGTTGGCTAAAGAGGGTAATCGGGGGTGTGAGATTCCTCCTTCTAATCCGGGTCCAGGAAATCCGTGTGGAGTTTCCCCTTTGAAATAGCACCGCTGTGCTTTTCGCTGGGTTGATGTCTATGCGCAAAGTTAGGCTTTTTGGGTTAGGTTTGGGTTAGGTTTGGGTTAGGTTAGGTTAGGTTGGGGTGCCTGGCAGAAAACCTCCCCGAGTGTTCAGTGGCTGCTGGTCCTTTTGTTTTCTTGAGAGGACGAGCAGGCGCTGGGCCGGTGCACCCTGGGCGTGGGCAACAATCTCCTCGTGAGGGGTGAGAAAGAGGAGATTGTTGCCCACGGCGAATTTCTGCCGGGGCGGAGGAGTCGCTCCCGAGGGCTCTCTATCTGCGCTCTGCAGCTGCAGAGTACACGACTAGGGAGCAAGGAGGGGTAGACCACGGGCTGTTTTACAGTTCGTGGCCTAGGGGTCTCCGCTACGTGTACGTCGCGGTGATCGAGGTGGAGAAGACCGTGGGTTGCTCCTCAACCTGCGGCCTAGGGGCATCCGTGGCGAGGTGATTAAACCACGGTGCCGGGTGGTGGCTAGTTTAAGTTAGTTTAGTTTCGTTTAGTTTAGCTAGTTCATATACATAAAAAAAAAAAAA